CCCTTGGGGTCCTATTCAATGAGATACAAGCTCTGTGTAATTATGGAAAGCACTCAGTAAGGCTGGATGAATGAATGGGAGACCCAGGCCCAGAAAGAGACATCCTTTCCACAGAGCCTCACAGGGCTTCCTGCTCTGAGTCTGTCAGAAATGGGAGCAAGAATTGTCAAATGCCTTACTATGCCCAGCAGACTCCGTTAGAATCCGGCCACTGCCAGGATCACCAGCCAGTCCCTTGGAAGAGGCAGTGACAGACAGACAGACAGTCTGGGTAGATGGCCAGGAGCAAATAAGACAAGACACAGCAAATGTGATTGAGGCTTTACTTCGATCAGGTAGGCCTAAGGCAGGGGCCATGTTACAGGAGCAGGGCCTGTAAACCAGTCAATGCTGCTCTTTCATGCAGCACGGGGACAGCTCGGGGCTGAGCGCCACAGGCGAGGGGCTAGGCAGGCCCCTCAAAGCAGACACAACCACTAACAGGAAGGAAGGTCAGGCTGGCTTTAGTGCAGCGAAGGGTAATGTTGGGAGGGGGATGTTCATGAAGGAAAGTGGGTAACTGAGGCTTTAAAGGGCCTGCATGGGACAGGGGTTTAGGGGAGGTGAAGACGGGGACAATAAAGTCTTAGGGGTAAAGATGGGAATAAACAGGAGAAAGGAATGGGGAGCCAGGTGCTGGGATGCAGAGTCCAGCTGCGCTCCACAGCCTGGGCAGAGGGCTGAGTATGGGCACCTCACTCCCACCTCCTGGCCTTCCAGGCATTACTTGTTGCCCCAGACAGCCATCTTTGTGAACACAGGTCTTGGGAGGAAGCGGCTGGACTTCATGTAGGCAGAGATCTTCTCCAAGCCCTGAGACGGGGGAAAATAAGGCCAGAGCTCAAGGTCAGCTGCCCATGGGGACAGCCCCACTGCAGACACAGCAGGTCAGGGCCTTGACCACAGCCTTTCCACGTGGGCTCAAGTGCTGGGACATCACACAGCCTCTTAGGGTCCCCAGATCTGCAGAGTTAACTCTTCCAGCTTCCTTTAAGTAATGCTGTACCACAGTAACAACTAACACTTATGGAGATTCTACACTGTGCTGGCTGCTCTGTACCCAAGAGAAATTATAACACAAGCTTAGAAAATCCACTTGACTGCTCTGCAAGGCTGAATCTATTATCATCGTTTCTCATGTGGGAAACAGAAGTTCAGCAAGTACCTCACATTTAAATACCTAGTAAGGGGGACAGGGCTACAATGTAGCCTGGTTCTGTCTCTCTCTGGTTCTGGCCTCTTTCTGCCAAATACTCTTCTTCTTCTGCCCCACCACCCCTCACACCCGACCCTGTCACCCCTTGACTGCACAAACAGTCTCCTTTTCCACAGGGAGGCTCTTGGCTTGTCTGGGTGTAGACACACAGAAGGGACCTCCAGCAGAACAAACGGGCTCACAAGACACTCACCCAATGTCTCAGTAAAACCTGGATGAAAGTGGAATGGGGGGTGGCAGCGCATAAGAAAATGAAAGGTGAGACTAGGCTCTAATCATTCCCCTTAAAGCGGAAAGTCCAAAGTTCTCCATCTAATACCTGAGCAGAATCTCACTGTGCCCTAACCCATGGCATCTCCAGCCCTGCTCTGCAGATCAGGCTACAAGACACTCAGATGTGCTGTGCACAATCTTACCGGGATTGAATTCCCAAATAAAGTATTCAAAAAGATCTAGCCAGGCATGGTGGCTCACACCTGTAATCCCAGCACATTGGGAAGCCGAGGTAGGTGGATCACCTGAGGTCAGGAGTTCGAGACCAGCCTGGTCAACATGGTGAAAGCCCATCTCTACTAAAAATAGAAAAATTAGCTGAGTGTGGTAGCGGCTACTTGTAATCCCAGCTACTCAGGAGGGTGAGGCAGAGAATTGCTTGAACCCAGGAGGCAGAGGTTGCGGTTAGCCTAGATCACACCACTGCACTCCAGCCTGGGCAACAGCAAGACACAATCTCAAAAAAAAAAAAATTCCAGGACTGCCTGTTCTCAAACTGATTGACCTTGGCATGTCACAGCCAGAGACCTCAGCTCTCCTCCACGCCTCCCTTCCCACCACATCTTACATAACTAACTCCAAGGCCACTTAAGCCTAGACCAGAAACAGAGCTGATGGGAACTAGCTAAGCAAGCAGATCTCTTGATGGGGAGTGGGAAAGGGAAACAGATTCTAGGCTCAGAAGCCCTTTGGACTAGTGCCTCAAATTCCCAAATCTGTACTAAAGTAGGATTTGCTGCTCTCAAACAAGATCAACACGGGTGAGGGATGCTTCTCCGTGAGTTAAGACAGGCCCCGGGCCCAGTACCCAGGTGGTACCACACACACCTCACAGGTTGCTCTGCCTGCACTGCAGGTCTCTCACTGCACTCTTTTCCAGGATGGGGCGGTCATCTATGCATCTCCCACTGTGCCTCACACCCTGCCTCATGCAGAGGAGAAAGTCAGTAAACAGGAGTAAAACCAGCATGCCACTCATCTCACAGGGGAAACACGTGGAACATTGGAGGGAAAAAAGAGAAGAGGAGTAGCTCATGCCTGTAATCCCAGCACTTAGGGAGGCCGAGGCGGGCAGATCACCAGAGGTCAGGAGTTCGAGACCAGCCTGGCCAACGTGGTGAAACCCCGTCTCTACTAAAAATACAAAAATTAGCTGGACGTGGTGGCGCACACCTGTAATCCCAGCTACTCAGGAGGCTGAGGCAGGAGAATCGCTTGAACCCAGGAGGCGGAGGTTACAGTGAGCCAAGATTACTCCACTGTACTCCAGCCTGGGCGACAGAGCAAGATTCTGTCTCAAAAAAAAAAAAAAAAAAAAAAAAAGGAAGAGAGGTGGAGTAAGAAAGTGCCCCAGCACCAGGCATTTCAACATAAACTCCTTCCACAGGGGCACCCACGTATGTACCTTAATCCCGCTCCAGCCACAGCCCTGGCTCTCAGGACTCCCCACACAGGGGTCCGATCATGGAAAGCTTCTGGAGGTAGCTATGAATATTGCCCGTGGGTTTAGCACTAGACATCAACGCCACCATTGTGTCAGTCCTACTATTGCCAGCTGCATCCATGGTCACGAAGTGCTCTGCCTCTTTCAAAGTGTCCTGGGCTGTGAAACCCAGGCTAGGGGAAGCCTAAGGCTTTTTCTCTGGTCACATACAGGAGAGCCCTGACGGCCACCCATAGATCCAGAGGCTCACAGGGTGCCCAGCACAGCCTCCACCGGCTCTGGGACCCTGAGCAATGCCTGACCATCTCATTCTCAGTTTCCTTATCTCCAAAATGGCCGAGATACTTCGGTCACCCTGTTGGAATGTTATAAAATTCAAATTCCACACAATAGGTATAATGTGCTGGGCACGGTTCGTGGCATGAAGCCAATGCTCAATAAATGCAAGTTATTCTATGTGTAGCTCCAGGACTGGGAAAGAATCTCAAAGGAGGGAAAGGAACAAGGGGCATCAAAGAGAAAGGAGGATGGGGGCATCACCTCAAAGCGGGAGATGAAGTCCTTCAGATTTGGGAAGGCATCCAAGCACTTCGGCTCAAATATATGGTGGAGGTCAAGGACATCATAGATGAGAAAATCTACAAAAGTGATCTGCACAAGGCCAAGAATATGTGGGCTGGAACCTCCATAACACATGAAGCAAAACAGATCTCATTCCCCGTTGCACTCCTCCTTTACCGCATCTCCTGCAAACCATGGCCGCTTCCCCAGAAACTGTGAGTAGAGCTTTAGCTTTTCAGGGAGTTCCTCCAAGTATTTTGGCTTCAGTGTCTCCTGAGGTGGGAAACAGCTGTCACCACCCTCAGACAAAAGCTCCCTGCATAGACATGGCCTCCCCAGGGCTGTGGATGGCCCAGGCTGGCTGTGGGCAAGCAGCCGTCTTCCCCACAACTAAAACTGGGGCAGTGCCCAGGCTTCAGTTGGATACATCAGCAATTATTAGACTCTGACTGGGTGCCAGACCCTATCTGAAGTGATCAGAAGGCGGAGAGGAATGAGATGCTGTCCCTGAATCTGTTATCACTGACCTCCCAATAACCTCTGGGTCAGCCCCAGTGGCGCCCGAGCACCTGGCAGCCTTTGGACCCAGACAGAATCCCGGGCAGAATCACGGATGCAAAGAACTACAGGAGCTCAGGGAAAGAAGTAGAGAGTTCCTCCTAATGGGGTGGCAAGAGAAAACATGGACATTGACCAGTTTCCAGGGAGATGAGAAGTTCAGGTTGAAAGGAAAGAGGGAGAGGAATAAAGGCCCGCTGGCTGCCTCTGAGCTGCCTGTTATGAAAATGCGTGGATCCCTATGCATGTCAATGACAGCACTTGGAAAACTGTGGAGGAAAAGATGCAATTCAATGGTGCCATTACATTTCTCTGTCTTGTACTTGAGTCTGTATATTCTAGGAGCAGGCAGGTGATGTGAACTGGCTGAGAGAAATGACCCAGGACAGAAGTCAGAGGCCAGAGGCGATGAAGGAGATTCTGAACATGAACTTTACCATCTAGGAATTGAATTTCTACCCTGGGATGCCTGGATCGTGTCCTAAGATTGCTGGGAATTGCTTCTGCTTTTGTTGACATGACATTGGAGTCGTAAGGATAACTGTTGATAGTATGGGAAAGCACTTGGAGGATGAGTGGTACCAAGGACTTAAGAAAAGACCAGTGTGTGCAGGAATGCAAGAGTCCTGGCCCCAAATCCAAACTCTGCCAGGTGCAGATCACTGGGGAGACTCGCAAATTCTGGGTTGTGGCAGATCATGGCCAGCTGCATATGGTTGTCCATGGTCTGGTTCTTCATAATGTGCACACGAATCTTCTCCTCTTCTGTCTCCCCACCTGCCACCCACAAAACACAGAGTCTTTCTGAGCATCGCACCCCAATCCAGCCAAGGAGGAGGCCACCTTCCCCCCACACACTGCAGCAAACCACACTCACACAGGTTGTGCTTGCGGGCAATGTAGCGCAGGATGGCGTTGCTCTGGGTGATCTTGTGAGTCCCATCAATCAAGTAGGGCAGCTGGATGAATGGGAAACCGGGGAAGCTCAGTTGGGCCACGAGGCTCCCCAGCATCCCCTTCCCATAAGCAAGGGCAGAGAGGAGACCCGGCACTCACTGTGCCTGCTCATGGCAGGCCTGAAATAAGAATACTGTCACATGGTCGAATGAACTTGGACACAGAACATCATGGAAGGGCTGTGTAGACAGCCAGGAGTGAGGGAATTGGGCAGAAGACTCCGGATCCCAACCCCTCTAAGCTGGGAGAGGAGATGCGGTCAGAGACACGTTGCACTTGCCCCCAAAACCGCCCCTTCCCCTGCACCTACATTGGGAAAGTCCAGGCCCAGCTTGAATTTTTCATTCAGCCACTGGCTTCTGTCATAGTCAGGAGCTGTGGTGGGGAAGAGGAAGTGAAAACAAACCTCCCCAGAGCCCAGCCCTCCTTCCCCGGGACCCTCCCAAGGAGCCAGTGGCAAGACCCCTGAGACAGGGGGACCTAGAATCTGACCACTCAGTCCCACATCCCAGGGTTCAGAGAGAAAGAATCTCGTTGAGGGCTCTGGACCCCACAAGGCTAAGGCTTCCAGGGTTTAGGCAACCCCTAAGGAACACCCAACCCAATCAGACAGGAGGCCCAGCATCCCGCCCCAGCATTCTGCCTTGCAAGGCCAGAGGGCTCCCTCACCAGGGCTCAGGGAAGGGACAGCCTGCAGCTCCAGCAGGGGAGGCCTGCAGAGGCAGCCACAGGTGGCCACCATGGGTTTCTTGGTGCCAACTCAGCGGGAGTGGGCAGGCCCCAGACAGGAAGGTGCCGTTACCATCCTCCCTAGAGTACTTCTTTTCCTCATAGCTTGAGTCTGTGTATTCCAGGAGCAGGCGGATGGCGTGGGCCAGCTGGGAGAGAGGGCCGGCAGCTCGGGTCAGAGATGGAGGGTCCCTGACTTGGTGACTTTGTCTGCAACAGGGACACCCCCAGTTGACACTGCACGCACACGTCGCCTCCTCTGCCCACCCCCACCCCCAAATACACACACACAGCGTCTTGCACAGGCCCTTCTGAGGGGGCCTCCCTGAAGAGGAAGGATCCCTAGAGCCCGTCCCTCAGCTGCTCCACACTTCCCACCCCGCGCCCTCGTCCCACCGTCCAGGGAATCCTCGCTCACCCCTCAGATGTCCCAGTACCCCAGGGTCATGGGCATGGTGCCTGTTGGTGCGGATTCTGCAGACAGGCCACAACCGGGGTACAGACTATAAGAGCTCCAGAGAGGGGAAAGGAGGGACCTTGCTGCGATCCCGCCCCTTGGCCCGCCAAGCCTCCAAAACGCGGCAGTCTGTGGCCCCGGAGCGCGTTTCTGGGGCTGGAATAAGTAAGACCCCCGCCCGCCTCCCAGCCCCGAGGGTTCCCGCAGCGAGGTCAGGGCGCCCAGAAGCCGAAAGCAGGAATCACCCTCGCCAGCTTCCCCAACCCACCCTGAGGCTCCACGAGTCCATCCAGCCCTTGCTAGGTCTACAGCGACTTGGCTCTGCGCTTGAAACAACAGCCAGATCCTTAAGGAGCAAAAAGCTCTTCTCCCTTCTCCTCCCTGCCCGCGGAGTCCCTCAGCCTTCTCTCCGCTGCCCAGTTCCCGCGGGCTCTGGGAGACTCGGGCTGCAGGGGTCAGACTAAAAGGTGGTGGCCCCAACCTGGGAATTTAATTCAGCCCGTCACTGTAAGAGCAGGACTTCCTCTGATTCGAAAGCTACTCCGAGGGCTTTGTCTCCCCTCTAGCCCCGCCTACACAGGAACGGTGTCAGTGGTATGGGAAGGACCACCAAGAAATGGGTCAGAGTAAAGGAAATGTGGTCTGTGTTTTCTGTTAGGGGCCCTCGGGTACTGAGTCCTTTGGTCATCTGACTACGTGCTATGTAAAGCAGCCACTTCGTATTTTGGCACAATTTATGAATCTAAATTAAAGGATCAGACCCAGCAAGTTGGTGAGGTATCTGAGGTGCCCCCTGGAAATGTCCAGCCAGTCCACTAGGTGAACCTCACATAGACCAAAACAGCAACAGCAGCAAGTTGAGTGGCAGTGGCCACGGAGGCAGGCGGGGAGGTGGAAGAACTTCCGGGATCAAACTGAGGGTCAGGCTGCTATTTCTCCAGCCCCACTAACCAGATGCAGATCACCTGGAGAGGAGAGAGGTTTTATTTCTGCAACTGGTTGCAGGGAGAAGGCCTGGAAATTACCACCAACCAACTCAAAATTACAAGTTTTCCAGAGCATATATACCTTCTAAGCTTATTCTGCAAGTGTGAGTGTGCATTATCTAAAGACATAAGTGATTGAATTCTTTAATCTATTAACTAAGTTCTGGGGTCCTGAGACTCTTACTCTGGAGCCTCAGTCTATTTACTTTATCTAAAGTGGGTCAGAGTGCCGAGGTGATTACCCTTACCTTGGTCTCCTGCTACCTTCACGGAGGTGTGGGGAGTTCCCAAGACCCAATAACTTGTTAATGATTAAATAGGGTTCCTGTTAAGGGAATTCCTTTGTTATTTTGTTATGCTTTAAGGTCAGAAGGTCCTAAGCAAAAATTCTGGTGGCTTTTGTTAATTTCCAGGCTTTTGTTATAAGGCCTGGCTTTTTTTTCTCTTCGCTTTTAATATTAATCCACTCAGTCAGTACGAGGCATGTTGTTATGGAGGCCTGTGTTAGGTGAGGAACCTGGTCTGCCACTACCTGTCATCAGAGAGGCAGACCCCTGGTCTGCTGAGGGAGGGGAAGTTAGAAGTATGGGTGCCAGAGAGGAGGCTGAGGGTCCCCCACAGAACCAAGGCAGGGAACCCTCCACCTTCAGTTCCACCATTCTGGACCCTGGACTGGCTCCTGACCATGGTTTGTTCTTCAGTGTGAGACGGATGGCTTCCGTGCCTTTGGAAGTTCCACCACTTGTGATATGTGACTGTGGTTACAAGTCCAAAGCGGTAGTGCAGTGCCAAAGGAAAAACATCGTTACTTATTCAGACCGGGAAAGGGAGTCTTCATTCCCCGGGGCTGGGGGACCGTTTAGAGAAGACTGCCTCTCCACCTCTTGTGAGGGACCTGACATCCCGTTTAGGGCCGGGCCCCAGTTATCCGGAGGCCTACCCATCTCCCTGTGATGCTGTGGCTTCAGTGTCACTTCTGAGTCCCTTTAGTGTTGCTTCTGTTGTTCTGCCTTATAGATAGCAGTAGCAAAATTAGTGAAAGTACTAAAAGTCTCTGATATGCAGAAATAATGGTGTAAGCTATCTTCTCTCTCCCTCTCTCCACCTTGGCTGCCAAATAGGGAAGGGCTCCCTGTCCAGTGGACATGTGACCCATGTGACCTTACCTATCATTGGAGATGGCTCACACTCCTTACCCTGCCCCTTTGTCTTATATCCAATAAATATCAGCGCAGCCTGGCATTCGGGGCCACTACTGGTCTCCGCGTCTTGGTAGTAGTGGTCCCCCAGGCCCAGCTGTCTTTTCTTTTATCCCTTTGTCTTGTGTCTTTATTTCTACAATCTCTCGTCTCCGCACATGAGGAGAAAAACCCACTGACCCTGTGGGGCTGGTCCCTACACCCAGCTAATAGATATGTTGTAGCCTTTTATCCTGTGTTC